TGCGCCTAGGGCTATGCATGAGGCACCTGCTTTTGCGTAACTTAGGGCTGTGGCACGGCCGACGCCTTTTGAGGCACCGGTGATCAAGACGTGCTTTCCTTGGAGATTGAAGTTGGACGGGGAGATGTATGGGTAAGTATCGTGACGGTCTGTGGCGACAAAGTTCAGGCCTAGTAGGTGTATGTTAGATGCGTACTGGCGATGGGGAAAGGCTCGAGTGAAGGTTCAGTACCATTGGAGGCGCGGACTTCACCGAAATCTTTGGACATGATGGGTTTTGCTGGATTCAAGAGTAGTATGAAGTAGCAGATGTGGAAATATTCGTTCAATACTCGAGCAGGTTACTTGTAATGGCAGCGTATATAGTACTGCAGAACTAGATGTTGTATGACGTAACTTAGGCCCCCACTCGGTATGGCACAGGATGCAAACTAGGATCACGGCGGTATGCAAGGAGTTACCGGACATAGCTATTCGGCAGTTATCATGGAAGGAAACGCGTCGTATGAAGGTAAAATGAAATTCGTGAATTAGTTAAGTCTATACCCTATGCGTTCACTTGCTCAACGCTAATATCCTCTCAACAGCCCTCTCCGCCGCGATCATGACACCCATCACAGGGTTCGTGGTCAGAGGCGGCACGATACTTGCATCGATGACGAACAAGTTCTGCATCCCGATGACCTTCGTATCCGTGTCAATGCAGGCCTCCATCCTGCAACTGCTGCTCCAATGTTGCACATTGCCAAGTGTGAACGCGCTTGGTGTGGTCAAGTAAGTCGCAATCTGCTCGATAGTCGAGTTCTTTGCAACGTTGAGGGGGTTGAGGGTAGCCGGCAGGGCTTGGAAGATGTTGTAGACGAATGTCGCAATCGCGGTCGCATCGCGGGGGTCGGCGTAGAAGTTTGATGAGGGAAGAGCGATACCTCTCGCGTCAAGGTTTACACGGCCGACAGATCGGAGACCAGAGGTGCCGTAGACGTTGAGTGTGATGGTTCCGTTCTGTGTGAGGCCCATTGCTCCGGCAGAGTCAATGGTGCCCTGGCAACCCACTACATCATCGCCTTGCTGAATGTAGTCCCAGAACGCGCTCGTTTGGGAAGCGAACGTGTAAGGACCAGATCGTTCGTTGAGGTATAGATCGACGTCGGCTTGCGGCGGGTTGGAGTAGTCGTAAGCATACGAGGCAATCTCGTCAGATTGGAGCTCGATGAAGGTGTTCGGGTTATCGAAGACACCGTTGCCGACAGCGGTGTTGTTGATCCAGTCCTGAGAAGGAACTGTGACATGACCATTCTTCGAGAGGTTTGTCAGGGTCGCTGCCTCGCCAATACCAGACCACATCAACAGCTGAGGACTTAGGAGAGCACCCGCTGAAGAGATAACCATGCCGCCTTCTTTGATGCAGATGCTGGAAGAGTTCTCTGCTCCGTTGGTCTGAACGTCGACGCCAGTTGCTACGCCGCCATCGCGACGAACACGCAAGACTTTAGCGCCGGTTTGGAAGGCAAAATTGGGGCGAGCCAGGGCCGACTGTAGGTATGTCTTGACGGGACCACTCCTTTGCCCGTTCTCGTAGTACCAGATTGGGTGGCCAAATACCTTGGTCTTGTTGTGGTTCTCAATGCCATCATTCAGGCCAACCTCTGCGAAACCCGCGCCATCAACGAGCCACTGCTTCGCAGCATCGTAACCGCTCTGCAAGTACCGCTTGCCGTCTCTTGAGGGACTGTCTGTGTTTGGCTGTTTCGCTCGGACCTTGTTGATTGCACATTGCATGTCGTCATTCTTCCAGCCCTGTGGGAAGTAGCGATCCCAATCGCTCGCGGGTGGCTGGAAGAACAGTCCAGCGTTGATTGCGGAGTTACCACCGACGGTGCATCCTTGAAACGCGTTGACGACATCAGACGCGCATGTCAAGTTTCCTTCACCGGAATTCGAGAAGATGGACTTGTACAGCCCGGGAACATCAACGCGGCTGAGTTCAGTTCCGTTTAGCCATTCTGGGCGAGCACGACCGCCGGTCACGTAGTACGACGGGCCGCCTTGCTCTAGGAGTAGAGTCTTCTTGCCGGCTTCGCTCATGCGGTCCGCTGTAACGATGCCCGCTGGACCAGAACCTGGAGGATGTCAGACTGATGCCAGATTCTTAATGCAAATGATCGAGCTTACCAACGACAATGACATCCCATTCACCACCAGCGCATTGCTCTGCCGCAGCATAGCTCGCGAGCGCAGCGACAGGTAACAAGACCTTGAACATATGAGTTGCTACCATGATGCCTTCTCTTTGATTTCGGAGGTGTTGTTTGTCCTATGTTGCGAGGCTATACCTCCTGCCGTGACAAGGCCGAAGGCTGACTTTAAGCATTCCATCTCACCCTCAGCTCCTAGCAAGTACGCTTACCCTAGCCTCGAGCTCTAAAGCACGGTGATGTACAAGTACCACCATGCTAAGCAAATTTGCAGCGTGAAGCTGGAGCCGACATCACCGAACACGAAGAGGTATGACGCCGTTTACGGGGTGGAGCGTGCGTAGGTCTAAACCATCGCCCAGATGCGGGCGCTTTACCTCTTCGCGTGCGCTATGAGCGCATGGATCTCGCGCCAGTCCATGGTTTTGGAAGCTTGAGAATCTTCGCTCCGACGGATTGGGTGCATGGCGGTCGTTGCGTGGTTATTTTGGGACATGTGGGCGAGCTGAAGGTGTGGCGAGGGTTGCACCGTGAGGGGTCCGGCCTGTCAGGAAGCAGCCCAACGTTAGCGGAAGTTGCTGCTGAGATTGTGACTTTGCGTCAGTCATCCGAATTCTCAATGTGGTATTTCCTTCTTTCGGGTTTCCTACGACTCGCATCGCAGATGGTGGAGTTGTGTGCAAAGCTTGGAAAGCTTGTTGTGTAACGACATGCAGTTAGCCCGTTCGGCCCGCCCGGAAGATTCGTTGTGGGCCATTGTTTCGGGCTACCGGTACGCAATCAGCATTCCAAACAAGCAGCGTCAAATTGATGGGCATCTAGGAGTATAATGGCTTATACATGTGCGAAGTCGAATCTTGAAATATCTCTTTCGACCGCCATACGCAGGGCAACGACGAAGCGAATGTGTGTACTGTTAAGAAACCAAGCAAGCCATGAACGCGTGTTAATGAAAAGATTCGCGACCGCTGTTGGCCATTACTCGTTGCATGTTAGGTGACTAAGAGCATTCTATGTTCTTATTTGCGCGCTTGTCTTATAATAATCTAATTATAATAACTTTAATAGTACTTTAAGTAGTTAAGTATATAATAACTATAATTTACTAATAACTAAGTCTAAGCTAGTATATCTTTATATATATTTATAGTATAGTAATAAGTTTTTAAAATAACTTTAAAATAAAATAGCTTATACTATAGAACTATAGTTAAAGTTTAAGTATATAAAGTACTATTATTATTCTTTATTATAGTATACTATTTTTATTTAAACTTTTTATTAATATATTTACTTAGCTTAAAATTTTAGTTTTAGTTTTTAACTAAAAGTAAGTACGCTTATTACTACTACTAAAATAGTACTTTAGTAGCTAGTTACTAAAAGTAATAAAAATAATTATAAGAACTAAAGTACTTATTAAAAAATATAATAATACTAAAGTATAAAATAATAGCTAAATAATTAAGCTAGTTAAGTTATATTACTAAAAAGTTAGTTTAAGTAATATAAGTAATAATAATACTTAGAGCGCTACTAATAGTATATAGTAATTAACTATAATAAAGTTAACTTTATTTAGCTAAAAATTAATATCTTAAACTAGCTATTTATAAAGTATATTAATAGTACTTTTAGCTAATATAAGATAAAGTAGCTTAAGCGTATATATATAAAAAAAATTAGTATTAGTAATACTATTATTACTAAATATAGTAAGTACTTTAATTTACTTAAATAAGCGTAGTTTAAAGTAGCTAGTAAGTATAAGTTAGTAAAAATAATAAAATGCTAAAGTAAAATTATAAGAAAAAACTTACTTAGAGACTAGTGTCTTAGCAATAAAATTACGTTAAAACATTAGAAACATTAGAGAGAGCATTCTACTGTTGGTCGTGTAGAACAACGCATTGTCTGTAGATGGGCACCAATTGTGAATGACTTCGACGATCACAGACTTGAAGTCGGCTTCAGTGCAGCATTGACCGAGCCTGTGTGGCGCTTGGCTTCCTACAGACTCCAATGGGCGACGTGAGAGCATTTTTTCATCATGCCATGTTCCCAAGGTATCATAATGTCAGAGCTATCGCTGAGCTGTGCGCCGCCAATGCGACCATTCACTAAGGGTATCGTGACAGCAAGATGTCTTGTGACTGATGTTCGTTGTTGGATGATCATCACTATTACTACTCTAGCGGTCTGGCCACGATGGTTCTGGCATGTGACTGGGTGGGCTTTGTTGAGAAAGCTGCACTCGCAGACGGTCATTTTTAGGTATTTCGAACCACCCGGCTGTTCTGTTCGTACTTGTATGATACTGACAAGTTATCAACCCAGTATCGACATGAAAACAATGATTGGAAGCATGTTCTTTCCTTGCCTTGGCAGCGCCGCAAGACCTAGGTACGGATTCGTGCTTGAAATGGCGAATAAGCTGCGTAGGTACCCATCGTTACAGTGCTATGGAATCATGATTGCTGACGACTCACACAGTAGTGAAGGATGAGTCTCAGAAGCATTGTCGACCATATGGGTCTGCTTCTGCGGCAATGAAGACTCAGTGAACTCAGGAAAGACTCAAGAATTGAAGTCATACTCTTGATCTGACGAAGTTATCACCGTGAGTCCTCTTTCTACCTAGGTAGCATCAAGACATGACTCTATCAAGTCGTGTATAAAAGCTGTAAAGCACTGTAAGTCAAGTGCGTTCATCATCACAATCAGCTACACAATCTCTACAGAGCTACGACTACTATCATACTATCATCAAGATTATCTGCCTCGAAACCAAGATCAGCCATCATCATGCAAGCACCTCGACCAGGAAAAGAACCCGCAGACAGAGCGCAGGAGGAGCAAGAGCTCGTCTCGAATTTAGATGCCGAGGAGCTATACTTCTCTGCGGAAGAAGAACTGATACCTGAAAGAAACAATGAGGCAAGCGTTGAAAAGGATAATCACAAAACACTAGATGAAAAATTGAAAGCCGTGGCAGAGAGGGCGAAGCAACTTGAATCAAACAAAACCATTTTGGAGGACGCTCGCCTCATCCCTGAGACTGTTGACGAGACGGAAAATCATCGTGATAATAAGTACCGGCCTGATAAAGACATTGAGCACCACATGCAGGGTAAGTCAGATATCCAAAGATGTTCCAAAGCTTCGGAGCAGCGCTAACTAGCGAAAAGATCTTGCAGCAGCTATTTATCGACGTGAACATGGGTACACACCAGAGATAGTCCTCCAAGGCGACAAATTCAAGAAAAACCGTTATTTTGCATACGTGCGACAAAGGAACCAATCCGGCTTTCTCTGGTTTCCTCAGAGTGATTACAGTGCTAAACGAAAAGACGCATACACAGCGCTTCTTCTTGAGCTCTATCGAGCGCAGATGAACGGCTACGTGGCTGAACGAAACGCGACCCAGTACACATTTGGCCGGCAGCTTCATCTTGCGAAGATTAACGAAATCGAAGGTAAGCCGTGCATGTCATGATATCAGCTCAGTTCTAATGCTATCAGCACTTATCCGAAAGAGGCTATTGCCCAAAGGCAAATTCGAGATAAGAGTCGAAGCCCGCGGAACGGGCCCTTCGCGAGGATACCGAGGTGTTGTGACAGGAGATTTAAAGATGAAAGGCCGACAATCCGCCAGCGAAGGTGCAGCATTGGATGCGCTGCATAAGAGACTTAAAGATAAGATTCAAGATCTCAGAACCGGCAGGCTTCAACCGGGGACTTATGTCGAGAAGAGGCGTTCAGCGGCCTAGTGCGCCAGTTTGTGCGCCGGAATTCACGGGGATGAAGGAATGTGTTGATGCCGCTGGCGGTATCATGGTATCAATTTGATGGATTATTTCTTTCCTTTTTTTCCATAGACACAGTCTTTACAGTCAATCTATTACAATACCTGGGTATCTTCTACGATGACCGAGAAACCGATGACAATAGTATCTTACAGAGATTATGACTGCACTTGTAGTAAGAAATTACTCGGAACGCCACAGGGGAAGCAATAATGGTGCACGCCGAACAAATCTCGGTATATCAAGCTGGTTAGCGATATGCCAAAATCCGAGCGGCTGAGCCGACATCCACTGAGACCGAAGGAACGAGTGATCTGATCGCAGACGAGATAGAAGACAAGTTCGTAGAGCACCTCTTCCGTATGAGCGTCATCTCTCTCGTTCTGAAATGTCCCTGATTAGCATCTCTTACTGTGTAACCAGAAATTCATCGACAACAAAGACGCTGTATTGGAGGGCTCCGAACGAAGAGTGAACGTCAGGAAGTACATAAGCTTAAGTCCAACAGCGAACCGCTGAAGGAGCTGAGTGCGAGCCTCGCTGCCAAGATCAAGAACCGTGACGATACCATCGTGTTGAAAAGCAGTGAGATGGAAGCAGTTGTTCAATTGCCTACAGACGTTCGATTGTTCATCCCAACTTACTTATCCCATAAGCTGCAACTGATCCGTTGGCGGCCACCTCGTCTGCGCAAAGCTCAAACACCGCTTGATACTCTGCAGATACTTCCGCGTCATCTCGTCACTCATAATATGCGCCGCATTCTTATCGCTCTCGTGCAGCTTTTCTCGCGCACTTCTCTCGTGGATACCCACCATGGTAACACCAATGGGCCACGCCGCCTTGCCGATACTAAGACGTAGATAACCATCGTTCGCGTCGACGTATCTTCGCTCCTGTGCAGCGTGCACTATCTCCACAACGGGCTCGACGATACTGTCTGGCATATCGAACTTCTCCAACTTCTTGAACAGTGGCCGCATGTTCTCGCGCGCTTGTACCATGGCGGCGTAGGCTTGTTTTCCTTGGTAGCTCTCTTTGACTTCGGGGTCTCGACGTAGGAGTGTGAGGTCCCATTCTTTCAGCACCATGGTGAAGTAGCTCGCCAACTGCCTGAACAGGAACTCGCGACCCTCCTTGTCCTTGGGTACCTGGGGGCTGACCTTCATGTCCTTCTCAGGCACGAGTTGTAGTGTTGTGGGTATCGGACCGTCCGTCATGATGGCTGCTAGGCTGTCTGCGCCGACGCGCTTCTTGTATCGTTTCAGACGTTGTTTGTGTGTCTCGCCGAATAGCCGCGCTGGCTCATCGAGGGCTCTCAGCTTTGCGACGAGCTCTTCGTCTTCGATATCTTCGTCTTCGGGGACTGGTGTGCCGTCTCCTTCGCCGTCCCTCTTCTTAGGTGGAAGATCAGGGAGACCTAGCCGCTTTCGCCGCTGTCTCTCTTCTGCCGCTTCCTCTTCTTCCCTTATGCGTCTTGATTCCTCGGCCATGCGCATGCGCTTTTCCCGGCGCTCGGCTTCCCGCTCGGCTTCATCTTCTTCGGCTTTGCGCTTCTTCTCCTGACGTTCTCGCCGTGCCTTCTCCGCGGCTTCTTGTTCGGCGACGTATGCGGCTTGCCGTTGCGCCTCAATTTCGCTGCGCTTCAGGTACTTTTTCTCAGTGGGTTCGGCTGGTGAGGCTGTGTCTTTGCCCTTTTTGATATGCGCGGACATCAACTTTGCGAAATCCATGTTGGCGACTGTGATGTTCGGGATATAAAGTGAGTCAACGTGTCGAGGACGGGTCAGTGTTGGTTGCGACGTGGAGACTCACCTGCGTTGGAAGGTACGTGCCGAGGAAGGCGCTAGTGGGAGCTCTCCGCGTCCCGGTCGCGTTCCTTCCTCCCCAAACTCTCCAAACACATTCACATCTTGCGCCTGACGTCACCTCCTCACGACCTTCCTAGCGAATTGTCGCTACGTGCCTGCGAATCTCGAAACTTCTTCTTACATTGACTAGCCTGATTGTCCACAAGGCTGCAGACCTCACAATGGCGGCTCCCGCGAAGATTGACCGTCAAACAACGACGCCCTTCCTGTTACGCCTCTTCTTCAAGCAAAACTCATTCCATAGGTGCGCATTGCTCCTAGTCTCATGAATGTATGAAATAAACACGTACTGATAGCTCAAAGGCTGGACGAGTTCGACCCAACACTACCACGTCTCCCAACCAACGTCCAAATCTACACATGGCAGACCTGTAGCCTGCGCGAGCTATGCACACTACTCCTGAGCGCAGTGCCAACATTACTACCGCAACCGTACGCTGGATCGCGCATCGCATTTCGACTCGTATACCCAGACATCCAAGGCTCCAGCCGACCAGGCGCGCCAGGGCGATTCATATCACGCGACATTGGCTCCGTCATTGTAGGCGCGCGACCAAGAGATGAGGACATTGATATGGAAGGCGTTGACGGAGGAAGTGTCACAGAGGCTCTCAAGCAGCTTGACGGCGACGCAGACAAGACACTAGGGGACGTCAGGTTCATGATAGGCGACTATGTGGCATGCGCCATACTTCCCCCGCTACCCGACGGCAGTGTACCGGCTGCACCTCCGCCACTATCTGGACCGGGCAGAGGACCGCCTTCAGGACCATACGGCGGACGGCCACGTGAGAATGGTTTCGGTGGACGGGGAGACTATGGCGGCTTCGGCAGAGGTGGACGGGGTGGTGGAAGCAGATTCGACGATCGAAGATTGAGTGGAGGTGGTGTGCCGTTTGGTGAATGGCGGAGAGGCGAAGCGCCGCCGGATCGAGAGCTTGGCTTTGGAAGAGGGGGCAGAGGAGGACGAGGAGGTGGAGATGACTGGCGCGACCGAGGAAGAGGGCGGGGACGATGGTAGTACAAAGCTCTGACTATGAGTTTATGACGCAGTTGCAGAGACCCATAGAAGGCTCTGAGGCCGCACGAGCTACGGACGCGCCCAAGCCAACAGCCGTGCGAAACATACAGTCATTGTTTGAAACAGTGAGTCAATACATATGTTCGTTGGACTCAAAGCTGACATTGATGGCGAGGAAGATACCATCAACTGCAGAATACATCCACTCCATGCCATTCGACCGTGATCAGCCTCCAAGTTCGTGATAGCACTCAACGACGTATTGATTGCGAGTGGTACTGGCATATGACACGCTGAAGCATACATGTACGTGTGTCATTGATTCTCTGCCAGGCGTCCTCCGAAGACTTCTCCTCGCTCTCTATTGGTATCATATCAGGAAGGGTATCAGGTCATTGTATACAACCGGCTTCATGCCAATCCTCCCATAGTTCAAGCTCTAGCCCATCGTCTTCCTCTGTAAGCTCAATATTCGTAAGAGGCTTTCGTATGCTTCCAACTCTGACTCCGCAGCAGCTTCCCACCGCGCCCGTTTCGTGTGCATATTGAGCACTTGCGCCACTGTGCGACTACCCTCTCTCGTCGATGTGGGCTCATATACTGGGGCACGACTTCGGGTCCTCGCTGGCTCAGAAGCCACGATCTCGCAGACAACATCTGTTGGTCTAGGAGTCAACTCAGGCTGTATGGAGCAATGTTAGCGCTGAGGAAATCTCACCTCGAATCTGTTTCTTGATTTCCTCCTTTGTCCTAGGGATGTCCGCCTCCAATGTTTGCCGCGCTGGTCGCTTCGTGTTGTGTTCACGATAGAACACCTCATCGTCAGGGTACGTTCCTTGCTCCCGAGCGGCGCTGTGTTCCGTACTCTCTCTGCTCGAAGGTATTGAAGGTCCGCTAACCATGCGATCAGGTTCTGTAGGGCTTCGTTGTGTGGGTAGAGGCATTATGCGTAAACTTAAGGGAGTGTGTGCGATATGTGTGCTGCACTAGAAAACTCGAAGAACTCCTGGCTGTGGCAGGTCCATGAACTGGTATTGAAGATGTCCATGTTGCACTCCATCGCGGATGACTGCGTGGGTGACAGTCGTTGGAACATTCATTCAATTCTGACGTGACCGACATCCTGTGACTGTGACATCAAGTGCGAGCGTTGGACGTTTGATGGTACTTCCTCACTCGTCATTGAGCGCCCTACAGAGCAACGGAGTCATGCTCGTGACAACATCCAGAGTCAAAACGCAGGTACCATCACTTCCGGGCCACAGATGTCACACCCTTACTTCGCTCAATCATCTTCACAATAGGGTTCCGGCGAGAGGGCTCACAACGATATAGTCTTCATCTCCAACGGTGGAGTATGCCTGGTTTACTGACTTTAACAATGACATGTTGATGATCTCGATCGAAAGCAGATCTAGTATTCATCGACACTGGAACAACATGTCATCAGAAGTTAATATGGTCACTTCACGGGCAGTGTGTGCATTTGCCTTCATCTCTTCCTTCGTACGTGTGTGTCAGTGCCATCAGAGTCTCACGTTTCACTCCTGTCAGCCGACGACAAAGTCTCAATTGCTCACACTAGGTATGACTTCTGAAGCTGTTGCATTATACATTGAGTTTTTCGATGCCAGAGTAGCTAGCTTAAATCTATCGTAAGCGTCTACAGCATATCAGGTCCTATAGTTTGTTGTCGTATAGTACAATGTATACATCTAGGATATTGAACAGTAGGACAGAAATTCCAGAAAGAACACTGTCCTTGTGCTGGCAAAGAAACGGACTGCGACCTCTTCTAATGAACAAGTGGGGACTAAGTCACAAATACATGAATGCTAGAGACAGAATGCCTACACTGATGCAGTTGCTTACACCTACTATGCATTGTCTCTAATAGAAATTGGATTATGTATTTATCTGTTGAGGGTTGCGCATCTGGTGATAGCGGTTGCGTAAATCCGGTAGCGTTGCTGCTGTTTCGCGGTAGCCAGACCTGCCCAATTAGCTTCACTCGCGAAGTGGGGCGTCATCCTGTTCAGCTGCGGGACGCCCTGAACACGTGACCTGATCGC